GGAGGCAGCTGGCTATTGGGTGATCTTGGAGAATGTAACTCTGAAGGTCACGAAGGGGTCTATGATGGTGATGCGAGGTGTCAGGAAAAACAACCTATACTACTTGAAGGGCAAGATAGTTACAGGGGGTATGACAGCTTCTATCACTACAAAGGAGGACACTACCAGTTTATAGCACATGCGTTTAGAACACAATGGTGATAAGTTTCTACAGGCATTGGCGAAATAAGGGCTATTGAAAGGTACGAACACCTGCAAGATGGAGCTGTGTGAGCGTTGTGTACTTGGGAAGAAGACGAGAGTGAAGTTTGGTACTACTATTCACAATACTCAATGTATATTGGACTACATTCATACAGATGTTTGGGGCCCTTCCAAACACACATCACTTGGTGGCGCTAACTATTTTGTCACTTCCATTGATGATTATTCCAGGAGAAATTGGGTATACCCTATGAAGCATAAACATGAGGTCCTGGATATTTTTATGGAGTGGAAGAAAAAAGTGGATCTGTAGACAAGTAAAAAGGTGAAGACTCTTCGTTTAGACAATGGAGGAGAGTATAAGAGTGATCCGTTTCTGCAGTTTTGCTGGGATCACAGCATTAGGAGACACTTCACAGTTCATGAGACACCGTAACAGAACGGGATAGCTGAGAGATTGAACCGTACCTTGCTAGAGAAGATGTGATGTATGATGATGCAGAGTGGATTGCCTGGATCCTTTTGGGCTAAGGAGTTAGTTTATGCGAGCCATCTCGTGAATAGGTTACCTTGCACTGCGATACAGGGAAAGACTCCTTTGGAGCGTTGGTCTAGTTCGGTAGCTAGTGACTATGAGTCGCTTTAGATATTTGGGTATCCTACTTATTACCATGTTAATGATGGTAAATTGAATCCGAGGGCGAGGAAAGCAGTCTTTGTGAGATTTAGAGATGGAGTTAAAGGCTTAAGTTATGGGATCCACAAGACAAGAAGATAGTTATTAGCAGAGATATCACTTTTGACGAGGTGTACATGATGAGGCCTTAATTTCCTTAGCAGGTGGAGGAAGACCAGACAGATAGGATATCGTAGCAGGTAGAGGATGATGTGACTCCACCCACTCTAGATAACATTATATCCATTGAGGCTCCTACAGAGGTGACACTGGAAGGAGATGAGATGACAGTCGGGCAGATAGAGGATACAGTGGATTGTGAGACTCAGGAGCAGGGTCATGTTCAGGAGTCTATTACAGCGAATAGACCTAGAAGGGTGATTCATCGACCAGCTAGGTATAATGATGTCATGATCGTATATGCATTATCAGTGGAGGTCGTCGATGATATGGTTCTATCAGCATTCAGGGAGGCAGAGTCTAGCCCCAATTCGATCAGGTAGAGGGAAGCTATGGAGGAGGAGATGCGGTCTCTTCAGAAGAACAACACTTGAGAACTTGCAAAGCTACCTAAGGATAAGAAAGCTATTGGTTGTAAGTGGGTATACGCGAAGAAGGAAGGATCTTCTATTGGGGACATTAGGTACAAAGCCAGATTAGTTACCAAGGAATATGCACAGCTTGAGGGCGTTGATTACAACAAGGTATTTTCACCCGTTGTGAAGCATTAGTCGATTTAGATTTTATTAGCATTGATGGCACAGCTGGATTTGGATTTAGTCCAAATGAATGTTAAGACAGTCTTTCTACATGGAGATTTAGATGAGGAGATCTACATGACATAACCTTTGGGATTCAAAGCTGTAGGAAATGAAGATTTGGTTTGCAAGCTGAAGAAGTCTCTTTATGGTTTAAAGCAATCGTCGTGATAGTGGTACAAGAGATTTGACAGCTTTTTGATTGGACATGGGTACACGAGGAGCCCATATGACCCATGTTTTTACATGCACAAGCTACAAGATAGTGAGCACATATATTTGCTTTTATATATTGACGATATGCTTATTGCTTCTAGGAATTCTTCGGCTATTCGAAAGTTGAAAGAGGACCTATCATCCGAGCTTTAGATGAAGGATCTTAGAGAAGCAAATAAGATATTGGGTATGGAGATCGATAGAGACAGGGTGAAGGGAAGATTGAAGCTTACACAAAGGAGTTATTTGCAGAAGATGTTGAAGTAATTCATCTTTGATGGTAATGCAAAAGCAGTTAGCACTCTATTGGCTCCCCACTTCAAACTTTCAGCTAATATGTCACATGTTTCTATTGAAGATAGAGATTATATGTTAAATGTTCCATATGCCAGTGCAATGGATAGCTTGATGTATGCTATGGTGTGTACGAGGCTAGATTTGTCACAGGCCGTGAGCATGGTATCTAGGTACATGCACGACCCCGAGAAGGGTCATTGGGAGGTCGTGAAGTGGATTCTACAGTATATCAATGGTACCGTGGATGTTGGTTTGGTATTTCAGAAGAATGAGAAGACATGGTACGATTGTATTGGCTATGTGGATTCAGATTATGCGAGGAATCTTAACAAGCGTCGATCTACTTCAGGATATGTTTTTACATTGACAGGAGCACCGATATGTTAGACATGTATACTTCAGTCTACAATGTCACTCTCTACCACAGAGACGGAGTATATGACAGTGACCGAACCTGTAAAAGAGGCTTTATGGTCGCATGGATTGTTGGAGGACTTAGGGATATCACAGGAGACCATTCAGGTATATTGTGATAGTATGTCGGCTATCTATTTGGTGAAGAACCAGGTCTATCATGCACGCACGAAGCACATTGATATCAGATTCTACTTTGTTCGTGATGTTTTGGATGACAGTGATTTCATATTGGAGAAGATCCACACAAAGGATAATCCTGCGGATATGTTGACTAAAGTTGTTTCAGGTGTTAAGTTTGGTCATTGTTTGGAGCTTTTGAACATTCTTCGATGTTAAGGTCTTTGGAGGCCATTTGGGTAAACTACGTGAGGCTTGATTCCTTGGTAAGAGGATACGTAGGCAGTCTTTAGATGCAGCCGGGTTGAATTAGTTGATTTCGATGGGGAAGATTGTTTGAGCTCTCGTTTGTGTTCCCGACTTGTTGTGGATTGAGTCCGTTGTCGTGGAATTTATTCAACTTCGTATTGGACGTAACAAGTGAGACATTTGGTTGCTTTGGTGTCGGTTTAGTTTTTAAGAAACTTCACCGAGGTGGAGAATTATGAACATGGATGTGGGGGCCACACCCCACGAGACATGTTTTCTCGTGGGGGCGTGGGGGCCACACCCCACGACGCATCTCCCCCTATACGCGTTGAATTGGACGCGTTTATCACGAGACGCGTTTTCAACGCGGGGGCCACCACACACGTACAGGCTATAAATAGGAACGATTTGTTCCTAGGTTTTTTGGGTGGAAAAAAGTGCAATGTGGGAAAACGCAGAGGGCTTAATCGGCGAGGGTTACTGTAGGGGGAGAAAAAGGACGCGTGGGGAAAAATCAGAGGTGTTTTTTCAAGCGGCTTTTGTGAGAGATTTGAGAGATTGTTTGAGGGTTTTATTTGTGAGACCTTGTGTGATTATAAACCCTATTTGTATTCTCTTTTTCTCTAATAGTAGATCTCCCCCCTCATTGCCCCGTGGACGTAGGCAACTTGCCGAACCACGTAAAAATAGTTTGTCTTGCTGTGATTTGTAATAGTTTGTTAGGTTCACTCGACAAATCAGTCCTAGAACTGATGAGAGGAAGAGTGTATATCCCACTTTGTTGAGATATATCACTGTCGATTCTTATTTTCTTTGTGAAACATAGATTTAGTTGGGATTTTACTCTCTTGTTGTGCACCAGAGGTGCTGCCGAAATTTTCGTTGCGCACAACAATTACAAATCTACAAACTAATCTCTCACACAAAACTCTCAATCTCTCAAACAAAATCCTAATCAATAGCTCCAGAAAAGATACTTTTCTGTGCTCCAAATATCCCTAATACTATTCCCAAAGAAACCCTAAAACATGTTTCTATTTATACCAAACACAAATCCCAAACAGAACAGGAAACCGCAATCAGGCCTAAACCCGACCGACAGTCGACCGTCTAAATCGTCGCGGTCGACCGACCAAAATGAAAGAAACCAAAAAATGCATTACAGGGTCCACGGTCGACCGCCGAAGTCTTCGCGGTCGACCGGACAGAAATCTAGAAAATACCATGTACTCGTGCATGTTTCCGGTCGACTGCCCCTAAGCTCGCGGTCGGCCGGCAAGCACCCAAACCTCTGCCTGCTCCAAAAATTTTGTTCTTCTCCAATGTTTTCGTCGTTTCTACCCATACAAGTACCAATCAATAGTTGAAGAAGTAGTTCCTAAAGAAGGATCAATCCATCCTCAACATTTTATCTATATCTTGATCTAAATATTCTATGAATCAACAGAAACAATCCCAATCATACACAATAAGCCCAGATTTTCAAAAGTTACTAATGAAGGGTGAGACTTGACAAAAGTAAAAGTGTTCTTTGGTTGGACAGGGGGGCAGTAAAACATGTAAAACTAAGTGAAAAAAAATAGCAAAATAAAAAAAGGGAGGAGGAAGAAGAAATACCCCATGCTGCCAACCAGAAGTGATAAAAGGAGGAGGAGCAATAGAAGAGCAAGAGGGAGAAGTGACAAAAAAAGTATTTTTACGCGAGTTAAGATAAGAAGTCACTTGGAGATGCTCTAACGCCCGCCAGAAGAATCTACCATGTCCCATGCTGCCAACCAGTAAAATCTGTGGGGTCCACAACTTGATTGTTTTTACCCACGTGAATACCCTAGAGGGCCCTAAACTTGAACTTAGTCCGATTCTTAGATTTCAACCTTTGGTAGCTTTCTACGTTATTAATATTTGTCAAACAAGGAGGCCCTCTAGTTGTGAGGTGTCCTACTTATCATCAACGACAACCCATGTGAAAACTTATCCAAAATAGACCAATAACATATTAAATTCGCAAATTTGCTGCCCACATATTCACCCACCTCTACTCTTGTCATCTTTATAAATAGATACTTGCTCCCTTCAATGAATTAGTAAACTTGAAGCGGTCCCATTCTAAGATTTCAAGAGAGAGAGAGAGAAACTATGAAGAGCATCGCCTTACTCTTTGCGCTCACTTTGCTTCTGGCTTCCTCTACGGAGTTAGCACTTTCCACTCGGATGCCTCTTCCAAGCTATGATCCCCAAGAGAAATCTAAGCGTATATTTTCTTCTCCTCACATAATATCCTCCCTATCTTAACTTCTCAAAATGTATGAGAGGCGTCGCTCATTAGCTTATGCATATTTTTGTTTTGCACCACAAAAAAAAGGAAATAAAATCCTTTGATCTGTATAATTGACAGATTGACCTTATTAATCGAGACAAAATTTTAAAAGCACCCGTTTTTAATATTTAAATAGCAAAAACAACCTTTTGAGAAGTTAAACCGAAAAGGGTCGGTTTTGTTGTTATTGTGATTTAGCAAAGCGTACGGGACTACTAGTTCCGTACATTTCATTTTTGTTATCGTGAGGAAAATAGAAATGAGGTGTATGAGATTATTAGTCTCGTACACTTCGCTAGAGCACAGCAACTGCAAAACCGATCCTTTTCTTCAGAAAATGGTCGGTTTTGCTATTTTTTTTTCAAATTGTCGTTTTTAATATTTAATTATTAAAAGTGCGTGCTTTTAAAAATTTGTCCTATTAATTGTCTATCTTTTTGTTTATATAAGAATTCATTTATTTTTCACTACGCGCTTTCTTTCTCATCGTTTTATGCAACGCAATATTGAAATGTAGGAACATCATTACATAATATTGTTAAAATTCTATTAAAATATAAGGGAACACTTTAGGAAAATAGCTTATGAGCTTAACAACAAGTAGTAGTAGTTTTCTATAGTGTAGATAAAAGCGTTTTTTGTGTTTTTTGCTTGCAATTTTTGTTTTGCAGCTTCTTGGTTCTACTAAATTTCTCTATTTTTTGTTTCAGCTATCCACGTGAAGTGCAAACCACCTCAAGAGTGCTGTGTTTATGGGTCCTCCATAACTGATTGCCGTATGTGCGCTGTTGTATGTCCATGAGAGATTACTTAAGCAGCAGTAGCTATAAGTAGTGTGTGATCCCTTTTGGGCTTTGAATAATTATGTGTTTGGTTGTGTTTGATGGTATTTTTAATATTGCTTGTACTATGAAAGAAAAGGCTTTTGATGTGAACAGCGGTGTCCAATTGGGCTTCGGCTCGGACCCGGCTCGATGTCTGACCCGATCGCACTCCGGGCCCAGGCTCAGGTTGGGTTGGTGAAGCCTGACCCGGCTCGGTTTTTAAATTTATATATTTTCTATGATAAACATAGATAACATTAAATTTAGATTATGTAGACTCTAGTCTCTCTCATAACTAACAACGACACCCACTACACAACAAGTTAACAACAACATGTTACTGTTCAATACAATTTGATTCCACCCTTAATTGTGATCCACCTCATAGTTGCATGAACCTTTATGGACCACTTTTGAATTTTAAGATAGAAGTGTATGCATCTAAAAATGCCTATAGGTTACCGTACGTAGCTCGAGACGAAGAGAAAACAATAAACGTCATCATCCGAGTCAAGAAGAATTATACGAGTGGCCCGCACGCTTGTCGGCCAACTCCAAGTGGTCGCGCGCTTGTTGGCCAGTTCCAAGTGGCCGCCGCGTTTGTCAGTCAGCTTCAAGTGCCGTAAAAAAGCTAACGAGCGCATGAAGCAAGTTAGTTGATCGTACAAGTCAACAAGGCGATCAAATACGTAAAACGACAGAAAGTACAAGTCTGGGAAAGTCGGGAAACACCGAAAAGCTCAAAAAAGCTCGGAACTCGCATGGCGCACGGGTCACCCAAGGGTGACCCGCGCTCATGCGGGTCACCGCTTGGTGACCCACGGCTGAGCGGGTCACCACTTGGTGACACGCGCGGGTCACCGTGGTCTGTCCCGCGCCCAGAACTGCCCATAACGTTCAAAACGCGTTTTAGGCTGTTTTGATCGATTTCTTCAGTTCTAGAATCTCTCTAACTGCTTAGATATCATATCTAAACATGGGTAGGCCATTATTAACTGAAGATAAGGCTAAATCTCTCATTCTCATCCAAATAACCGTATCCGAGGCTCTATAAATACAAGCCTAGGGCACCCATTTTGAGGGGGACGAATTATTATCAAGACGAGGAGGTGTTGCCGAGCTTCAGAGCCAAGAGCCACGAATTTCAGCAAGGGCTAGCGAGATCCCGGCGAACTTCGACATAAAGAAGGAGTCTTTCGAAGGATCCGAAGCCCGTTTCCACCTTTTCTTGAGATTAGACTTGGTCTTAATCTCGAGAAGAGTACTGATTTTGCTTGGTCGATATCAGTACTTCAGCGAATACTTCCTTTGTGAAGTAGGAACTCTGATTAATCATTCTGTCAACCGGATCCGATTTGTAGGCGGTCCACGGATATCAACGTCCCCGGCACAGGCAAAGATCCCACACAAACAGAGACTAATAAGTAGGATCTGTGTGTTGTTTGAAAGAGATTGTAATCAATTATTTCCATTGTGTAAAAGTCTTATAAAAAGACTAATTTTTTGTTGAGTTTATTGTAACGCATGAAGTAGTAATAGATTCAATTACAATGAAGAAAACAATTTCTGACCCAAACAAGAGGGATTCTATTTTGATCCACAGTCATGCTCTGCGAGCTCATTATGTTCTTTTCGATCAATAAGTTGCAGATATCTTTACAAATAAGAAAACAATTCAATGTTCTTCCGTCTCCACTGCATACCGCCTTGCTTGAGGGTAAATGAAAGGAAACAAATCAAAAATATTTGATTCCGTGTATTTGAAGGAAATATTTCGAAATATTCACCTAGCACAATCCTAGCACACATGGTGCGGAACATGTGAAAATTTTGACTTAGATCACTCTCTATAATTAGAGGATCTCATAATTATTGTATATTTGTATTTCCGTAATTACTCTTTATTTAAATTCTTTATATTCACATGAACACAGTACAATTGGTGTGGCCTCCTCTCAAATATTATATATCCATCTTTAACATTTCTACAAATATTACTACATATGTTATGCATGTATACATAAACTAATTAACACGACCCATCATGCGCAATGAAGGCAATATCAAAGCTCAACGCATCATACCACCTTGGGTAACTGGAGGTTCAGTCATCATGAATTGTCTCTCCATGTTTGCGTGCCACCCTGGGAAAAATAAATTAACATGTTAGTAATTTTCATGATTAAAACATGTCCCATATCTTGATCAGAATTCTCTCAAATTTGTATAACCAGCTGTTTCAACACTAGATGCTGCTAAATTTTCTTCAGTGGTTGCTTTGATACCGTACGTTTGTAATTTACATATGGTTTAAGATTAGAAACGTATGTTGCTAGTTTATACTATCAATACAAAACGTCTATCATTTCTATGAAATAAATGTTTTTTACTGTTATAACTGTTGATTAATTCCATTGTGGAAACTTCCCTGAGTTGCCCAGAAACTCAAACCTGTTGGTCTAGATGTTTTCTCTTTTAGGAAGCTAAACAACAGTCGGTGGATTGTACTATTAATTATATAAGATCTTAGAGCGCATCTTGTAGCTGAGCTACATACTCATAATATCGATTGGCTAGACTAATCCGCTCATCTAACTCATGATCGGCACTGTACATCCTGTTCAAACCATCATCAAATGTACATGGTGAAATTTTCACATCGCTTAGAGTCTTCTAGAAATAAGGATCAAACTAGTTTATCTTCAAAAAAAAAAAAAGGATCAAACTAGTTCAATATGTCGATTTTGATCAAACAACTTAATAGCCATCCCTTTTGCACATAGCTAAAATAGTGATTCAAAATTTCAAAGCAAGGTATTTTTTTTTCTACATATAGAACATGCAGGGTGCAAATCAAGGTGGATGTTGCTGATCGTCGTACTGGGTAGCCTAACTACATATTAGGCTAGCTCACGAAAAGAATCTCATCTCACCATCTCATTTTATCGTATACGTGTGTATGTGCGCGTGCGTGCCTGTGAACAATTTATCAGGTATGAGTGGTGATACCTATTGACATATCAAATCCTCGGTTTCGGAGCTCTCTATACTCTTGGCTCAGAGCACAGGGCTCGCAGCAGCAATGAACAAAGCAGTCGTTGCAAGGAGATTCCCCCAAGTTGTACTGGGCTCTCAGCTTTGATCTGTAAGCGCACGAGTATACACAGTGAAGGCACGTAAACCATTGTAGCAGTGCATACAGTGCTCCACTAGTTCCGCAGGCTACATCAAAGTTGAGAAAATAACTTTAGAGGTCTGATGAAGAAACCAGCTCTCTCTTTTTTTTTTTTTCCTTTTTCTTTTTTAACATATAAGGATGTTTCAACAGCTAGAAACTCTAGTCTTTGAGAGAAAAACTTACAGGTAGAGCCTCGGTCCACGATCTCTGCAATCCGACCGAAAGTAACACACGGACAAAAACAAGTCGCGCAGCCTGTTCAAGTAAATCATGTATTAGATGACACATAACAAATGGGATTTTTTTCGGAATTAAGTGATAATGAGTCGATCGCTTACAATCGCCACAATTATTTCCGCAGCCGAATATGCAGTGGATCGAGTTAAAGGGATTAGCTTGCCTTAAGTATTGTGCGATTCGTCTTATGCGTACACATGAGAAATTTCCTTGTAATTCTTTTAGTCATGACGCGGTATTTGGTTATCCTGTTATTCAAACATAAAGGTTGTATCAGCCTTAGAGATATCATCTTTTAATCACTTATGGTTTCTCTCGAATGTGACGTGACGAGTAATTTATGCACTCTCCCAATGGCCAAATGAGCCCATTGGAAAGGATTATTTCCTATACTGCAATTATAATTACAAGAATGAAACATTAAAAATAAAAATTTAGTAGCAACATACTTGTCGTTGTAAATCTATTTCATATTAACCATACTGCCCCTAAAGGTCAACGGCCATAAGATCAAGGGGAAATTTTCATAGGCCTTACCATGTATGATTATTCTTATAGATTCAAAATTATCTATTATTTGCAGGCTTAGATAAATGGAACTTGCAAGCAAGGGAACTAGTCAATTTGTTGAATGGTGGGTGTGGTCCATTTCTTTTAAGGTTCTGTTTGGCACATTTCCGAAAAAAAAAAGAAAACATAAAACTTGGATGAAAATCATTTCTTGACATTTCAGAGGGTTTCTCCCATTTGACTTATTTGGTTTATTTCACATTGAAATCATAGGCTGGAAAACATAGTTTCTTGTTTCTTGGGTTTGTTTGAACATCATAAAATCAAGAAATCAAATGAGTTTTTTTTATTTCTTCAGCTTCCAACGTTTGGTATGCAATTGGATGAAAATGAGAAATTCTACCTAATATCACCACGGTGACCTTACCGCCCACAAAAGTAACAAACATTTGTCAACTTTTAACAACTCCCAAATCCTCCAACGGTAATGTTTGGGCAATGGTCAGAAAAATGCCACTTGCCATAGTAACTATGCCTGCACATATAAGCATTGTGAGATGAGTTAGCATTTACAACTCAATTCCCACTCAAAATCCCTCTACAATTTTCAGAAGTCTGAGCAAAGCTTTCATCCGAAGGGGCTTTTTTTTTCAAGCAGAGCTGAGCTATGCCTGTGATAAACACGAATATTCTCTATATTTTGACTATGTTTCACCTATGGATTCGTTGTTATTTGATGTATTTCCTTACATTTTGGCCATGTTAAGCTCCCTAGTTCTTGTTTACTGCTTTATTTATATATTGTGTAAGAATTACTGGAGCTTAACGCGGATTCTGAGTCAAGAAGGAGTCAAGTAATGCATGGAAAGAGGCTATAGGTTCCCCAATGTCCAACAACACAGGAGTGTTGAATACAGAAAAGCCCAGAAAGAGCAGAGCAAAATAGACTTAAACACGACTTGGTCATGTTGATCTATACAGACGTGTCTGATATCAGTATTCAATTATCACGCGATCTGAAGCAAGATTGGAAGTTATATGTTAACACATCTTTTCCAGAACTTAAAAGAAGACGCCCTGAGGCATCTGGACGACACCAGAGGCTAGAGATCTCATTTTTTCTCTTCTTCTTCTTCTCCCCATCTCTCTAAGAACTTTTAGATTAGGATTATTTTGATTTGGCAAAGTGTTGGTTGTGGAAAATTGTGTGTAACATCTCGACTTAAATATTACAGTTTTTTTCTAATTCATCTTATTTTCTAGTTTACTATTATGATTTTATACATCATCGTCATGTCTTCTGTTTCAATTATGTGTGAGTAATTGTTTTATCTAGGACTGAATTAGGTTCGGTCATGGTTGTGAATCAATGAATTGATTTTGTTGTTATCATTGATATTTCGATTTGCATTATTTAATTACTAATATATGATTGCCTTGAGTTAATTCAATTAGCTACTGATTTAATCTTGTTAGGATGTTGATTTGAACTGAAAGGTTAGATTGACGTCGGAAAATAGTAAGTGAACAGGAATTAATTGATCATGAAAGTAGGTTAATTATTCTTGAGAACATGAGAGATGAACATGAACTTAATGGGTTTAATTTAGTTCAACACCATGAAAATAGGTTGTTAGGTTGAATTAGGTACAACTTTTAGTCGTCGAAAGAGACTAATAGTTATCATAGGTTAGTCATTCTTAATGCATTGAAAGATAACGATAACAATTGATTAATTTGTTGATTCAAACCAGAGTTGAAACCGAAGTTCAATCCTAGATTCTTTTAATTGAGTGGATTCGCTAGTTAGCGCGTTCGTTATTGATAGTTAGAAATCATACTTTTTAGCACGATTGGTTTAGATAGTCACAAAATAGTGAAAATTGGTAATTGACAATGAAGTCCCTAAGGGTACGACCTTGTATTGCTACAACGACATCCGTACACTTGCGGATTTGAGTAAACAGTCTACACCCCAAGTGTCTCAGAATCAAGCAACCGAGGTAACTTGCTTTTGTAAAATACCGACACCATTAAAGCTCTGCAAAAATAGAATGAACAAAGGAAGATACTTTTGGGGCTACGCTAAATACCTAAATAGGCAACATAAATTTTTTGTCTGGGTCGAAGATGAGCATGATATCAAAAAGGGAAAAACCAAAAAAGATGAAGCTTCTCTTCAACTAGTTTTAGAAATAAAAGATATGCAAACAAAGCATATGAGAAGAGAATTGAAGCTCGCAAATCGATAAATCGATTACTTGAAGAAATGTCTTGTTGTCTTAGGGATATTTAGTATTTTTCTTATCGTCGTAAACATTATAATCTGTACTTTGAAAATATAATGCATAAATCTCTTCAGAAGGCGAAACAACAAGTATGAAAAAATCATAACAAGCAGGGTATTGCTTATAAAACCCCAACTGCAAATAAACAAAAAAGGTATATGTGCATCAGAAGTATACAGATCTATGGAAATAAGGAGTAATAATTAATAGTATTGAAATAGGATGCTAAGAGGCATTTAGGAAAAATTCTCAGTTCTTTAAAATGTTGAGGAAAACAACAATTACTAACACATGTGACAATTGCAAATGAACCATCCTATGAAGTGTACTGAAACCTCTTGAAGTGTGCTGCAACGGGCCTATGAAGCTCAATGTAATGAAATATGGGGTTAAGATGCAAGGAAAAAACCCAGTTCTTGAACATTATGTCAGAAAATAGAATTTTCTAACATATGTGAAAACTGTAAGAAAAGAAGCTTTTTGCATATGAATTCAGACATTGAAGCAAACCTATAAATACCCAGTTCTTCAGCATCATATCAAGAAAACAGAATTTAAAAACATTTGTGAGAATGATTATCGAACGATGAAACAAATATGCTCAGATATTTGTCAACAACATCATATATTCTACACCAGTCAATTAATCTACACAATGCTCTGCATATCAATAATAAATAGTGAGCCTGCCTCGCAATGTCAATTGGTAGGATACTTACTAGGTAAGTATATTATGAAACTGATAATCATCATTACACGGAACAAATATACACTACAACAAAATTGTTTTTTTATAGCGTTGAATGATAGCGTTTATGTTGTAAGTGCTATAGATAGTATGTGTCTTATTTTTTGATAGCGTTTGAAAATTTTTAAACGCTATGAGTACTTAGAGACTGAAAATTAAAACAGGCCCGTTGAAAACTAACTAAACCCTCAGTTCTTCCCCCCAAAAATTCATCCCCAAATTTCATTTCCCCGCCTAAATTCTCATACTCCGAAATAAAATCACCAATCGCCGCCTCAATTCATTCCCAAATTTCATGATTCAGAGGGACAACCGCCGCCCTCTCCATCCGCGCCGCTCTCGAGGACTTGGCGCCTCGCCTGCTTCGTTCACGCCGGTGACATTTTCGTCGTCTATCAGGTACGAAATCACCAAGACTCATCAAAACCCTAGATCGGGTATCGGATCTGATGTTTCTTGTTGTTTCTTTTGATCCAATGATTGTTGCAAAGATCTCAGCGCGAATCTGCTGCTCGTGTCGTAGATGACCTTGTAAGATCGATTCCTGGCATCGAAGTAAGGTTCTAGAGCAATTTCGTTCCTTAAATTGGGGTTTCTACCTTAAATTGGAGTATTTATTTCATAAGAATTTTGTAGAGATCGGTTGTTATCTTCCTTAATTTTCGATTGAGGAGACACAGATCGTTTCTATTGACTTATGCCAATGGATTTTGTGTAAAATACTCTAATTATTGATTAAGTGTAAGCGTCGGTTTAACGTGAGACTATGGAAGGTGTTCACTGATTGCTTTAACTGTCTACCTGTGGCTGCTCTTATAGATGACAAAATAGTATGCATGCATGGCGGTCTTTCCCCAAATTTGTCAAACCTGGACCAGATTAAAAGCTTACCACGTCCTACCGATGTCCCTGATACTGGTTTATTGTGTGACCTGCTTTGGCCCGATCCTGGTAGGGAAATTCAAGGATGGGGAATGAATGATAGAGGGGTTTCGTACACTTTTGGTGCTGATAAAGTTGCTGAGTTCTTGACAAATCATGATCTGGATCTTGTCTGTCGTGCACATATAAGTTATGAGGTGTCCGCAATTAACCCATTCTAGATTGACAATAAGGAAATGTTGTGCGCTGTTTAGTGTATAATTAAAGGTGTGCAATTTGAACTCATGGATGCAAGATAGCAACGCTCCCTTTTTTTTTTTTTTTTTGAAAGGCAAATAGTGTTTACGGATTAGTGAGTTATTTAACAAGAGCTAACTTACGATATTTGTCAGAGGGATGTCCCTCAATCGAGGAGGTTATCCATTCTGGTGTTGTTCCTCGGTTTGTGGAGTTCCTTGTCAGAGAGGATTTTCCTCAATTACAGGTGAGAGGGGTTTTCACTTTTTTTTATATAGTCTGTCTATTGGTTTTTCACTTTGTGAAATGGTTAAAGGGTATCTGACTTGTGTTTGAGCAGTTCGAAGCGGCTTGGGCTCTTACTAATATTGCTTCGGGGACTTCCGAGAACACTAAGGTTGTGATTGATCATGGTGCTGTGCCTATCTTTGTTAGGCTTCTTGCTTCGCCGAGTGATGATGTTAGAGAACAGGTAGGTGTTTTTGTTGGAATTATGTAAATAATAATGTTATTTTGATTGTACCATTTGTTTTGAAGAACATGAATATTTGAAAAACTTTAGGAGGAAATTAATGCTCATTAGAATTTCCATTTCCCCCTACTTCTAAAGTGAAACTACGAGTTGGAGATATATCCGAGTGGAAAATTCAATGAGTATACTGTATATTTTGTTTTTGAAATCTTATTATGAGTTTGATTCAAGCAGTTAGGACAACGCAGTGTTATTTTGTATGGCTAATGGACACACATAAGATTTCCGTGCTTCAACCTCACTAGAGGCTACAAGGCGCCAAAAATGATGATTATCCAAAATATAGACATGAAGTCAGATTCCAATTGTATAAATATTTGACTGAATATAAATATGTTGTTTTTTTGCTATTCATTTATGCAAGTACCTTATTTTTATAAATTGATGGACAAAAAAATAAGTTCTCATTAGAAGGAGCTCAACATACTCCCTTTTCTGAGTAATTTTGTGATCAGGGTTGACAAACTCCTAAATGTCAGACAGATGGGTATTAGTGTCTTGTCTAGCTATGTTGGATGGACAATGCCAAAAAATTTCGTGATAAGTGTCCTAAATGTGCATAAAAGCTCTAGACTACAAAGCATCTTACGTTTTACTCCTCTTTAGAAAGGGGAAAACAAAAGAAAAGAAAAGAAAAGGACTTACTCTTCATATAGGGTTTTTCTTTCAAGTTTTGTTTCTTGGAATTTTAGGAAAAACAATATGTGAATATAAAAGGACTCTGTTGGAATATTCTGTTTGCAGAGAAGAGAAGTTTAGGTTACATTGTTTATGTATTATTAAAGTTATTGGCTTTCCATGTAGGTTAAGCTTATCATTGTCTTAAGATATTCTTGAATTAAATATTTTTTACATGAACCAAAATGGGATATCATAGTAATAGTTATTGGTGAGAGAGCAAAGTAAGATTTAATGAGGAAAAAGAGGAAGGACAAAAAGTGAAACTATTATTAAGAAAATTTATCAAAAATTAGAGCTCACATTTATTAAAAAAATTCTATGTTTTTTGAACACTTCTGATAACTTTATTCAATAAAATATTTTGTACATTAACCCTCTCAGGAAGAAATCAGATTCCTCTAAGAGTTAATACATTTTAAACAGCGACCTGATCCATTTTTTTATTATGCAGCTTATGGAATGCCCCTCTTCACATGATAAAAATTGAAGCTGGTGTTTGTCCTCAGCTTGTCGAGCTTCTTCTGTATGTATAATTTGTGTTTATTTGTGTTTGGTTTATGTATATTTTGTTTCACATATGAAACCAGGTTTAACTATATCTCGGCTAGTAGCATGGCCTGCTGACAAGGTTGTATTGAAAAATATCTCAATTAACAATGTGGAATCTCCAAACATATCATCTCCTTCGGTAATCTTTTTTGCTGATACTATCATTATTTTGATATTTGATTGTACTAGTTTCTTTTCTATAATTGATATCACTGTTTTTGTATTGTTGCTAGAGTGTGAACAACTCAAAGAAAAAGTGCAACTTGTTAGATATTGGTGGCTCGGGAAAGATAGTTGCTGAAGGACATTGGTCTTCAAGTGATCCGAACCAGGTTGTTCACTTCGTTCCTTTAGGTCCTAATGCTATGCGTGTTTGGGTTGATATCCCTACGATCCCTAGTGCATCTCTTTGGAGACCGACATCTGAGTTAGAATGCATTGAAGATGTCGTTGGTACGACAATAGCTTGGCCATCAAATAAAGTTGTTATGCTTTGAAAGCTGGTAAGTTATACATCTTGCAATCGTGTGTTTTTACTTTATCATGTTTTCTAAGATCTCATTATTGATGTTGTTAATTTCTGTTTTTGCAGCAGTACTAGTACTCAATTGCTGAAGATGATGAGTCTCCCAAGTCATATGTAATGCAGCAAAGTTAGTTTTTGTTGTTTTGTGTACTATGGTTAATTTCTTGTACTCCATGTTGGATTATCCAAAGACTAGTATTTGTTTTTTGGCACATTTGTATTGAACTTCTTGTATGCTACAACTTGGTTATGTATCAGTTTGAACCTTTAAATAAAATATTTGCTTTTATGGTTGTCATAATTGGAAGCTATTTCTAGTTTAACCTCAAAGGTTTATAAGCACAACTGAAATGCTATAAGAAGTGAAAACAATTGCTGAAATGCTATTAAAAGAAGAAAGACAGCATTCGCTAAAACGCCATTGTAGTAACTCAAACGCTATCAAATATAAGACAATAGCAGCGTTGAAATGCTATGAATAAAAACTAATTAATAGCGTTTTCCAAACGCTATGAAAGATATTTGTCATAGCAATATAGAAACGCTATTGAATACTCTTTTATAGCTACATAAAAACGCTATGGTTGGAAACTTTTTGATAGCGTTTGGGGAAACGCTATGTAAAGCCACAGACCTACTATAGCGGGTTCTGACACAGCGTTGATTAAAACGCTATGAAATAATACCATAGCGTTTTTCGACCGCTATGGTAGATTTCAGGTGTTGTAGTGTATAGATATATTCATATGAATATATATATTTGTATGAAAAAATCATAACAAGCAGGGAAACGCTTATAAAACCCCAATTGCAAATAAACAAAAAAGGCATATTTGCATCAGAAATTATACAGATCTATGTAAATCAAGAGCAATAATGACTAGTAGTGAAATAGGATGCTAAGAGGCATTTAGGCAAAATTCCCAGTTCTTTAAAATGTTGAGGAAAACAGCAATTACTAACACATGTGACAATTACAAATGAACCAGCCAAATAAGTGTACTGAAACCTCTTGAAGTGTGCTGCAACGGGCCTATGAAGGTCAATGTAATGAAATATGGGGTTAAGATGCAAGGAAAAAACCCAGTTCTTGAACATTATGTCAGAATACAGAATTTGCTAACATATGTGAAAACCGTAAGAAAAGAAGCCTTCTACATATGAATTCAGACATGAAAGCAAACCTATAAATACCCAGTTCTTTAGCATCATATCAGTAAAACAGAATTTAAAAACATTTGTGAAAACGATTATCAAAGTACGAGATAAATGTGCTCAGATATTTGTCTATATCATCATATATCCAACACCAGTAAACGATTGAGTCGCAATGTTGGCTCATATCTGAACAATTACTTACCTCGATAAGTAAATGGTGGGGTTGCCTCGCTAAAATATTGCATGTAAAATTACTGGTTGAGTATATCATAAGAAGACAATCATCACTGCACGAAGTATATGTAGAAATTCTTAAATAACAAAAGATGCAGGTTGTGCATGTGTATACAAACTGACAATAAACAGTGCTCAGGTTTGTTATAAACAATCAGTAATGCAAGAACAATGTGTTTTTAACAACTGTACGCTACAATATAATACATTGGCCATGCTAATATGAAACTGTCTCACCTTGACAGTGTTAAGTTACATGTGATTGCATATATCATTTGCATGCACTCATCATAGCACCGTTCGAGGAAGACAAAGAAACTGACATCTTGTCATACCGGTGAGTACTCTCAATGAATGTGACACTTAAATCATGTAGCGATAATCCAATGTTTACCTACATTTATCAAAAAACCAGTATGACATAAATTAAGCTGCTTGCCTCTAGCAAAATCATCACATTATAAATACATACTAAAATATCATGTACTCAGAACGTAGCAATAGAGCATCATATCCAAAAATATACAGTCATACCCACCAACAATCAACTTACATGACATAATAAATTAATTTGCTTGCCTCCAGCAAATGTAGTGAGCTTATTCTAAAGCTCACTACACTATGACATTGTTAGGGTCAGTGTGCAAAACCAAAATAACCCAAACACTTCCAAAATAGTCCTGTAAATAACAAGATAATGTTTTAGCTTGACTTAAATTAGTTGAGATAATGCAACCATTCTTAAAATGCCTACCTTCATCCCCAATCTAGCCACCTCCATCTTGTAATTTCTTGAAACTATCCAACAAAGCCCTTTGGATAAAGTCACTTTTTCCTATAAAATGCATGGCTTTGGTCTCATTCTCAAATATGCTATCATTAAAAAGCTCAAGTACTTCTATTGGGTAATTATCTTTGTGCCTGAATATAGCTTTAGAGAATTTCTCTATCCAATGCATATTAATGTCTTTGATAGATGAAGAAAAGTGTTTTACTTCATCTACCATTTGTTGCATGATCTCATGCTCAAACTGTGCCCTCCTCACCTTCCATTTTTGAGAAGCTATTTTTTTTAGCCTTGTCATGGAATGTTGCCTTGTAGTTGTTGTTTTGGGATTGATTATCCTCATCTATGTTGACCGTGTAAGGGGACGTTTGAATCATAGGGATGCAATCACCATCATCATTGTCATCGTTAGCCGCAAGGTTAATAGGCTCATGACCACCAAATTTCTCCATTGAAGCCTTTGCAAAGTTCCCTCTTTCCTGATCATCCCCACAAATGATAGCTAGATTCTCATAATGCTTCAAAGGCTTATTGATGTAATCTTTAAGCCTGCTTTTATTTTTATCCTACAAACATTAAGTTATAACTTGAATAACGTATATGAGAATATTTTAATCGTACCAAAATGAAAATGAATAGATGAACAATAAACTGTTACCTCATTCCATGTATCAAAACTATCAGGATCCATGACGACAGTTTGTGTTTGTTCATCCCAACCTGCACCACTAATATTACGAGCAACCTGCATATCTTGAAACCATGAATGAATAGTTTTCATATGGTTAATAACACTTTTCATAACAAAGGCTGTTCCAAATTGCTTGTTCACTTTAACGACTGTCATTGCAAATGCATGTTGCTTAAAGTTTTTGTCTGGTTTAAAACTAGACTTTGCCAAATTTGTAAGAAAGGGTATGATCATGTTATCATGAGCAGAGGTCCACCATCTAGTTAGGGCCACATTTGCAGTGTCAAGCTCAATGGGAATTTTTATTTTCTTATGGGCAAGAGCTTTATATTTTCTTTGAGGAGATGCTGAAGTTGCTACTACTTCATCATTGGCCACTAGTTTATTGTTACCTGAATCAGAAGTAGTCCCTGTAACACTGGTTGGAGATAAAACTTATACAGAGGAATTTGAGCCTTGAAAATGTTGAGGAAAAGATGGCAGACTACTGAGTAAGTGCATGTAAGATGAAATAGGATGATGCATAAGGAAATAATTACCATCATAATGCGGCACATTTGAGCAAACAGATGGTGGTTGCACAATTGGTGAGGATGACTAGAACGACATGAAACTGTGGTTGAACCCACTGCTTGTTGAGAATGTTAGAGAAGGTGGTGGGGCCATTGAAGTTGGGGAATGATTAGTAGACCTCCCTTTGTTCAAATCTAACCCATCGGCGGTTGATTTATCACACATTCCTATACTTTCAACAAATATAATTCTCAAAAAAACAATGTGAGTCATAAAAATACGACAATATGAAAATTGTAAATGATTACAATAGCTGAGATTAAAACATCAAATAATAAATTTCACACAAACTTAAAACGAAGTAGGTGTGATATCACGACAAGAACTTACTATCACCATAGTTAATCTAAGCCACACAACAACATCAAAGTCTTAAGGTACACGAACACAAAACATAAAGTACTACTAAATGTAAACAAGCAACATAGATAAATGCCGTAGCAAATCATAAGGTAGTCTCAGTGGTGACACCATGCCAGTATTTATTACAATAATCAATCCACATGTCCAAAGTAATTTGATCTCTGCGAGACTTCCACTCATCCTTTGAGGCATTTTGCTCTCTTTGTGTTTGGGACTGCAGAAATCAATAACGTCGTTGTCTTCATCAATTCTCTCTTCATCATCATCCTCTTCAATGTAGATGGTCTCATTGAGAAAATCATTTTTTGGATCGACTGTTGCAATGTAGTTATGGTGAACCGTGCATGCCAAAACGATGTAAACTTGTGCGGGGAAGGGGTAGTGGGGTTTTGCCGTGAGAATCTTGAAACGATTCTTTAAAATACCAAAGGAAGCCTATGATGGACGGATACTGATACGAGACACGAATACGACATGAACACGGATACGACACGAACACGGATACAGAATATGACAAAATCTAAAAAAAGGATACGGGAATATAGTAAGGAATTTTTTTAAAACTATTATTTTATATAAAAAAATTTATAAAATTCAACTAACAATCTAAAATATGAATCTATCACAAAATAACAAGTATATAAACAAAAAGGAATTGGAGTACATACTCATTCTATCACAAAATAACAAGTTTGTAAAAAACATCA